GCACGTCACTGGTTATCGTCTTATCCGGGCTCGGGTCATAGTGGCAGCAGGTTCAGTGAGGTAGTCCAGATGTCCCTCTCCCCGGCAACATATTCCAGCTCCTCTGGCAGGATTCCGAGGCATTCCCAGGCCAGATGAGAGAGATAATCTCTTCAGTGTGTTCTGGGTCTGCCCCGGGGTCTCTTACCAGTTGGACATGCCCAGAAGACCTCCAAAGGGAGGCACCCTGGGGGCATCCTTTCGATGGAGCCAGCGGTTCTACTCCGGGTCCATTCCGGATGTCTGAACTCCGAACTCTAAGGCTAAGCTTGGCCACCGTAGGAAACTCATTTTGGCCGCTTGTATTCGTGATCTTGTTCTTTTGGTCACTACCCACAGCTCATGATCATAGATGAGGGTTGGAGTGTGCTTTTGCCTTTTGGCTCAGCTCCTCCTTCACTGTAGTGGTCTGGTACAATGTCCGCGTTACTGCTGATGCCCTGCCTGTCAGTCTTGTGCCCGATTTTACCCTCACTTGTGAACAAGACCCCGAGATACTTAAACTCCTTCACTTGGAGCAACAACTTGCTCCCAACCCAGATCAGTCCACCGTTTTCCGGCAGAGCACCATGGCCTCCTTGGAGGTGCTAACTCTCATCCCTCAGGTAAACTGCTCATCTTTTCAGGTTATAAGTTTTCATTGCAAGGCTAAATTAAGCAAAACCTTAAGGTAAAATGTGCCTGTAGAAGTGTGTAACAGCTATGAAAAATAAATGCATGTTTTACATTTTTTAAGAATATGACAAATATCCCCCCGTTTCTCTGTTGGCGGCTTTAATGCACAGTTTTGGTTTACTATAATTTTAATGTGCAGTTAGTCAAAAATATTTTTATAGTCAATATTAAAATCAAATGTGTAGTGAAATATAACTTTACAAAATGTTGGATACATTTTTTTCTAGTCTTAATTTTCCATCAATCCACAAACCCCTCCACCACAATAAGGTGGCGGTTCAAGGACGGGATCTTAATTTTCATTTATTTCTGTAGTAACTTATGTACAGAACTGACAGTGTTAATGTATATTGGCAATTCTGTACATAATAAAAATGTGGAGCTGTGCCTATGACAACTTTTTTTTTAAAGTACGTTAATCGTTCATTTTATTTTGAAAGTGACTACCCGAAGTGATGGTATGCTAGGTCATGGCTGCATTGACGTTAGTTTGATAGATGTAACTGTTGCAGTTCCCCACTCCGACCAGCAGAGGGTGGGTGAGCGAAAATACTGTATGTTGATTACAGTCGGTTTAGGAATAAATATCAGTATAATTCTTACCAAAGAACGTCCTCTTTCAATCCGGTAACTGTGGCTACGATAGTAGTTTGTTAATGCTTACTTCTGATTGCTTCAATTTACTTTATTAAAGAATTCTGGCAGGGCGGCATGGTGGTGCAGTTAGGGCTGTGGACTCACAGGTGTTAGCATGCCAACACGTCTGTCTTTGACACTGATATGACTATTGCTAGCTAATGTGACTAGGCCCCGGTGTTGAGTAAACAGATTGGTGTGTGTGTATCTGTGCTACTGTTTTCGCAACGTTAGCAGCACACTGTCCTACATTTTAATACCGATTTAAACGAAACATTAAGTTGCCACGAATCGTTCGCTGTGCTGCCTTTTCACACGGTGGCCACCTGAGGGCAGTATACTCGTATTTAGGTCAAAACTCTCACTAGCGTCAAGACAGAAACCCATATGGATACTACCGGTCAAGACTGTCAAAATAAAACTTGAGAATCAGCTCAGCATGTTATGTGTTAAAACTAAAAAGTGAACGAACCTGTGCTTAGCTATGGTAACGTTAATTGTCCCCCTGTCCCTTACAGTAGCTCTGCCCATTCACATATTTGTATTTTTATTTCTTTGTTTCAATAATGTTAGACATTTTGCCCATATTTCATGCAATGTTATTTACTTTTAATGTCTCATAGTGTAAATAACTAGAATCTTTTCTTTCTTCAGATTTTGTGCCCATTGACCTGGATGAATGGTGGGCCCAGCGCTTCCTAGCCAACATAGACAAGCTATCCTGACATTTTTTGTGGGAGTTGTGGATCTTGATGACAGTCACGAGGCGAGACCTGAAGCTAGATAGCTCACAGAGGAGAAGATGCCTGGGGGCAGCAAGTGCAATAGGTCACAGTGCCCCAATATAGTCCAAATGGACAAAGTGCTTGGACAGTGAGAAACAAAACCCAGAAGTATCACTTGAGCGTTGTTAAGGACAATCCCTCAAACACTAAATAATCTGTATGACACACTGGAGGACAATGTCTCGCAGTCAAGGTTTTACCTCAATTTACTCCCCTACCAATAGATGTCATGTTACTTTAAAATGCAGTAAAATTGTATTTTCAAGAGGCTCTGGATTGGCATCTCATTTGTCATAAGCATCGGCTAATGGTTATTCACCTTAATGTTACTGCAGTGAAGACACTGCACTACTTTAAATTCATTCAACATTTGGTTCAATAGTAGCTTAACACCAATGAAACCTACAGAGAATCAATGTATGACCATTGATGTTTGACTTTTATAACTCAAAGAAATATCCACATTTCAGATATTTAGCTCCTAACATTTGAGAGGGCTCACAAAAAAGTAAGCTCCATTGATCCTGATCAGTCTCACTGCTACTACAGACATTACAATAACACCATATATTTGGAGCTGTAATTACACATGGCATTTCAACAGGATTGTGAAATGCAATTCTTAAAATCAGCTTGTTTAACACCCAGATGGTGGAATGTTAAGATAAATTTTATTACCCTAAAAATGGGTGTGGTGACAATACTGCTATTGCTGCATCTGTTGTAGAGATTTTGGGAAATAAATTTGCATTAAACTGCTTCACCAGGGCAGTCAGTTGGCCTCAGCGTGCTCACCATAAACATGATTTCTCACGCATATCTCCGAGGCCAAAAGAAAGCAAATAAGATTTGAGCTGCTGTCTGGAGCAGCCATTACAGCTCACTACATAGGATGATTACCAAGTCACCAGGTCAGGTCAGATGATGGAAGAAGTGCAAGACAGTGAGAGCTGGACACAAACAGGTTTTTCCTCCATAAATGATAAAGGTCAGTCATTCTCTATATTTAACAATCCCCATACAGAGACCAGGTCAGGTAGCAGGTAGTTGGCTGTAATGGCTTCCCCAGCCAGCAGTCTAAATTTTGCTTGCTTTCCTTTGGACTCAGACAAGTGTGAGAAAGGATTTGTCTGAAATCATGTTTACTGTGAGCTCTCCCTGAAGCTGGCTGACTGCCCGGTGCCACCTTTTAACGCAACTTTTCGGTTCCCCAAATCTCTTAAGTTATCCTTAAAAGCCACACTGAAACGACTGGTGTAATCGCAACCATTACGACTGGTTTTAGTCTTTTGCTGAAATGGCACTCAGAGTGCATCTGGGCAAAAAAGTGTCTATGGAAAAGCTCTCTAGCAGTTCATCTTTTCCAGTTGAGTTGAAGCTTTTGTGCTCTCCACAAGGAGTTAAATACTCCATAGGTGAAAGATGTGATTTTATGGTTTCAGATGAACAGAGGCCTGCAGTGCTCCTCAGAAACTGCAGTTGTCCAGCTGCTGTAAATGCTCCCATCTACAGGCCACTGTCACCGAAGCCAGGTCTGCATGCAACTCTCAGTGCTTCTCCAGAGCTTTCGTCAGCAGATCGTTCAGGCGAGAAATCATTGGTCGCGGATCATCATTCAGGCCTGCTGTGATCATGGCGTTGTCATAGATCTGAAAAATATAGATTAAAAGTAAATATTTAAGATAAGTTGATTACAGCTACCTGAACAGAAAACTGAATCATTGATATTGTGTGAAAATTACAATGAATTCAACTGATATAAATTACCTTAAATTCTCAAAACAAGCTAGTTCATTTCCACATTTTCTTACTGAATTCAACTGATATAAGTTACCTTAAATTCTCAAAACAAGCTAGTATTTAAGCAGTGGCAGAGTCTCAGTGAGTATAAAACAAATGCTTATTGTTAATACAGGCCCAGAAAACGCTGAGATGAGGTGGAATCACCTGGACTCGAATAGGTCAAAGGAAAGAAGAACTCAAATGCCACCAGTGCAATGTCAACATGCTCTGTTCAACTACATTCACAAAGTTATCCCAGTTACTTCTAATTTAACGCTGTTATGTTCTTTGTTGCTGTAGTTATAGTATGTACTGTTAGTTCATCTGGGATATAAACATTTGTAGAGAAACAAAGAGCAAACCATATTGGCATGACATTACCTTGTTGCACTGATGGAATTTGCGCTGTAGGAAATGTGCATTATCCTGAATTTATCAAGATGAGTAAACACTTGAGGAAGATTTGAGTTTGTATAAACGGCAAATTACAACAGGAACAGATTGGAAAACAAGGAGGCTTTGTGGTAAATTATGATGAAACATCCAGGTCCAACCCACAGTACCTGTTCCAGCAGCAGTCCAGCCAGCTCAGGGTTCGTGTCCTTCATTGCATGCAACTTCTTGATCAGATCGTGTCTATCAGATGATGGAAGAAGTGCAAGACAGTGAGAGCTGGACACAAACAGGTTTTTCCTCCATAAATGATAAAGGTCAGTCATTCTCTATATTTAACAATCCCCATACAGCGACAAATCACCAATGAACTGCCCCTACTCTAACGTCAGTCTAACCTGTGTTAGCTTATTGGTCTACGAACCAGACCTCCATTGTTGTTCGACGGGTGACGTGTTTCGTAATGACAAAACATAAGACCTGCATATTTTCTAAAGCTGCCCCTAAAAGCAAGTTTTTACAACATCTGAAGTAGCAAGACTCAACTGTGCATGCGTGAGATCTCCATGAAAGTGCGAGGAGCTAGCGGACAGTAAGCAAGGCAGAGCTTGCATGGAGATATGGTGTACGCACAGTAGAATTTGGCTACTTCATATGCTGTAAAAAGTTCTCATTTGGAGCTTTTGTGGAAACATTTTCAATAAATACGGAGGTCTGGTGTTTCGTAAAGAAGAAACGCATCACCCAGTGCCAACATGGTGGCATCATGGCCATGATGCCAACAAAGATGTCAACCCCATGGCAGTACGCCAGTCCAGGTTGGAGACAGACATCAAGGCATTAGTTGGTTTTAGTCTCTGTAGGGGCATGGTTGAGAAATTCCCACCCCCCTTACCCTGCGTTGATTTCCAGTGTGGGCTGCAGGATCTGAGCTCTCTCCTCAGCAGTGCGGGCCAGCTGCTGGGTGCGGAGAAAGTGGCGTGCAGCGCCCATTTCCAGCACGGTGATCATGGCTGGGTGGGTGTCAAGGCGAGGAGTCAGCTGCAGGCCAAGGGAGAAAATGTATTATGTTTAAGATGATGTAAGATGTCTTTCAGGCCATTTAGGATGAAATGTGAAAACAGGCAGAACAATTTTAATCCATGACTGAACCGGTTCCTTGCCAGGTGTCTTAAACCTGCACTAGTGCTGTTATTACCTTTATGTTGGTAACTCGGGGACCAAGTGAGTTTTTCATCCAGGCCATGAGGTCGTCAGCTTGCTCCTGTGTCAGACGCTCAGAGGCTGCAGAGGTGGAAAGATGGAGAAAAGAAAAAAGTACGGATTACATCCACCGCAGTGAGATGTCCTACAATTCTAACAAGACATATGAGACAGAAGCAGACCAGGTTTGCTGTCCTCAAACTTCTCCTCCTTGTAGTGATCCACCACAATGTCTGTCTCCACTGAGATCAGCTTCTTCTTGTCAAACTCTCTGAGGTGGAGCAGGGTCAGCTCGTCAAACTGCTCGTAGCAGAACAGCACCTGCGCACACACACACAGAAAGAGACTTCAGCAGCTTGTCACTAACAGACCCCTTTAAGGAAAAGCCCCTTAGCCCTAATCCACACTGCAAGCATCTGCCGCACGTCTCACACTGCAGATAGACTCCCATTCTGTCAAATGTTTCATTTCACACTGAACCCGAGATGTGTCTCCTGTAGAACCCTCATGCTCTGCTGTGTTTAGTCAGGTGCATCCTACACTTTCAGCTGCTTAAGTCACACAAATCCTGTTTGCTGTCTCTACAGGTATCAATGTAGACTGATCAGGGTGCTCGAGTTTCACTTTCACGCTTTAATGAGCCGGGGAAGTAAAAATAAATAAATCCATGGTTACATAAAAACGTAATTTCTTCCTGATGATTTTAGATGAAGATTTTTGTCTAGTGCATTTGGTCGGCCTCTTTGTCCAGCTGCTGTCCTGCTGACAGGCAAACAGCTGATGACTTTAAAGACACAAACGTGCTGTTTATGTGGATTGAATGGAATCACGGTTCAGATTCCCAGTCAGACCAATAAATGTAATGTAACACTAAACTCCCCGTTTCCCCCATGGGGAAAATATTAAAATCACTAGTTTACATCCTTACTTGGACTCTATATTTACAGGATATTTTGCACAGTGGTCTTCAGCGTAATGATTTCTAGACGTGCTGTTCTACAGTTTCAATAAATATCAGCCATGGCAGGGTCTCACCTCCATGTCTTTCTTTTTCATAGCCTCAAAGTAGGGAGAGTGCTCTGCAAGATGTCGGCTCGGGGCACACAGGTAGTAGATGTTGCGTGTGCCGGCCTTCATGCGGGAGGCGTACTCCGTCAGACTGGTCTGCTGGCCCGCTGGCAGAGCAGAAGACTCGAACCTCAGCAGCTTTGCAATATCCTCCTACAGAGACAACATGGTTTGAGACTCCTGCTGTTAATGACACTTGCAGGCAACTGCTGCGTTCAGTGCTGTCCACTTATACAAACTAAAAAGTTATTTGTATCTTTATTTCTTTAAAAACCAAAGCTGGTCACCTTGACATCTTGTTCCTGGGTGGTGATGATGCCCTCTCTCATGAAGAGGCTGTAGTCCTCAAAAAACTTGTTGTACTTCTCTGGCTCTTTCTTGCTTTGCTCCAGCAGGAAGCGGATCACCCTCTGTTGCAAAACCTCACGAAGCTTCCTGAGGTGATGGTAGAAAAGTAATTAGTGGCTCAATACTGGAATTTAAACTGAGCAATCTATTGTCAGTTTCTAAGTTAAGACAGTAAATATTCCTGTGAAACAAGATCCTGATTTCAATCACTGTGAAAGATCTGTACAGTCCAGAACATGTCATGTGTAAACCTGGAGTTGTACCTGATGAGGGCACTCTCCTGCAGCAGCTCTCTGCTCAGATTCAGTGGGATGTCCTCACTATCCACCACACCTGCATGCACGCACACAGTGTGTAGCTCAGCACTCAAAAATCTAATGTTTTCTTTCATTGCGTAAAGTCATGCAAAAAGTAAAAACTAGCAGCTCCACCAGAGCAGGTGGAGGCAGCTGGGAAGATCCAGACCTCTGA